TAAATTTAAAAAATATATAATAACAATTATTAAAAAAATATAATACAATACAATAACATACAAAGTAATATATTGATTTTTAAATATGAATGGGAAACACATGATAAAATAACATAAATCAATATAAAATAATATTATATATATATATATATTTTATAATATATAAAAAAAATAAACATATAAAAAAATAAAGAATTTATAAATATCAATAATTAAACAATAATCACAAATGAATATAATTATTTAAAATCGTTAATTATTAATTAATTTTTATTGTAAAATTTTATAAAATTTTTTTTTCCAAATTTTTTATTTAAGTAGTTAAAAGTTAACAGAATTTTTTAAAAATGGATAACTATAGTGAGGCAATCGAAGGTTGTTAACAACCAGTGTAGTTAAAGACTACTCCCCGTTAAAGTAGTATCTCGAAGAAAAGAAAGCATTTTTCAATAAAAGATCAATTTTGATCAAAAAACGTTGTTTTCAAACCAACAGTTGTTGGGAAAAAACGGGACAAGTGAACATAGCAATAGAAATTATGTTATAAATTGAAAGTGGCGATGGCCACACATTACATGAATAAAATGACAATAACCTGAAAGGCGTTAAATTAGAGTCCACAGTAAACTTTGCGGCCAATCAGAAAGATTTTTGAGACTCTCGGCTATACTCAAAATTGAAGATGACAGTAAGTACGATGTAAATAAAACGGTTCACAGAGTGCACCGAAATATCTCTGAATAAACATAATTATATACATGATTAAAGTGGGTATATTTATTGCACATTAAAAAACAAGAAATAGATTACCTATACAAAAATATAATAATAAAATATTTGATATAAACTTGAAAACAGATATATAAAAATACTAAAATTATTAATAAAATTTTTTGTTATGACTGCAATTGACTTAAATCGTCTTCCTTTAACGTATAATTTAAGTTCAGAAAATAAAAAATTCAACCGCAATTTCAACCGAGTCTTTTTTTCTACTGAAAAATCTTATATTGTGCCATCACAGAACACTCAAAAGTATAATTGAAAAAACGTGCTAAAATCTCGTTAGTCACACAATATAGTTCTACTAACTTATTGGAAAATTTTTTGGCAGTATCTTTCGAGCCGATCTTTATCTTTCAAATTATTAATTCCTGATCATTTTTACACAAAGTGTATTATATTAAAAACAACGCGCTATATGCATATAACAATGTTTAAAAATAAAAACAAGAACAATAACGTTAAATAATAAGCAAAAAAATAAAATTAAATACATATATAAAAAATAATTATTAATTACATATTTAATAATAATTATAAAATTACATAAGTAAAAAAAATTTATGAATAATAAAATAAATAAAAATTTTATTACTACATATATAGAAACAAAAACGTATATTTAAAAAAAAAAATAAGCAACAATTCTCTAAACATTATAAATAAATAAAAATACTTTTTAATTAATATGTGTATGTAACTAAACTGAAAAATGAAAAATAAAGTACAAATAGTTAAATATTATATTTAATAAATGTTTAATGGTACATAAACAATATCAATAACAAAATGATAATGCATATAAGCAATTGATACATGAGTTATAATTTTAATCGTAACTATTCATAATATTTTTTTATTATATATATTATTGTTTTTGAAAATAAAGAAATTATATGTAATTTAAAACTAAATTGTTTAAAATTATATTTTTTTTGGTAACATAGACCTTTGGAAAAAAAAAAATAAAAAATATAATAAAAATAAATATCCGT